CCTGTTTTCTAGAGTCCTGTTTCCTGCCTTTATAAGGTATCTGGGTAGAGCCCTAAATTTTAAGATGGCTGCTACAGATTGGCCCAACTTTAATCTCTACTGCCCTCTGTTGGCCACAAGGAAAGAGGCTAGGTTAAAATTTAGGGCTTCCAAATAGTTTTATGGTCAGTTTGTAGAGTTTATAAGCTTTATAGACCATCATAATGACAATTTGCCTTGTATAAAGGTTAAAATCTGTGTATGACTTTAGCTAAGAAGTATCACTATCCCACAATACTGTGAAATTTATGTAATCACTTAATCTCAATAAAGAAATTTTTCTAAAGCAAATAAAAAAAAATAGGGCTTCTGCCAGGCTCATGCCTGTAATCCTAGCTACTTAGGAAGCTGAGATCTGAGGATCACGGTTCAAACCCAATCAGAGCAGTAAAGTCCGTGAGACTCTTATCTCCACCAGAAAACCGCAAGTGGCATTGTGGCTCAAGTGGTAGAGAGCTAGCCTTGAGCTGAAGAGCTCAGGGACAGTGCCCAGGCCTAGAGTTCAAGCCCCACAACCGACAAAAGAGAGACAGAGAGACAGAGACAGACAGACAGAGGTTCAGGGACAGTACCCCAACTCTGAGTTCAAGCCCCAGGACTGGCAAAAATAAGTGAGCCACTGACACCTGGGTCTTTAATAACTTGATTAAGACTTTTTTTTTTTAGGTCCGGTCGTGGTGCCTGAACTCTGGGCCTGGGCGCTGTCCCTCAGCTCTTCAGCTCAAGGCTAGCGCTCTACCACTTGAGCCACCACGACACTTCCGGCTTTTAATAACTTTATATTTTAAAACTTTAATAACAATACAAGAATTCTGAAAATCTACAGATGGATGTAAACAACCTACTGGTGTATTCTGAATATATAAATACATTTCATATTCAATATCTCCTCCTTCCCCTTAAAAAAAGGCCAACTTCCCATTAATGCCTCTAGGGACAGCAGGCTTACCACGCTTCCTAGAAGCAGCTATTCTTCCTTTGAGAAGCTGAAGTTCTTCCTAATATGGAGGCAGAAACGGTCTGATTCTGCCGCCCAGACATCCTGTCCCTCGTTTCTCGCCCTGAGCTACGGAGCAGCTCTTGAGCAGGACAAGCAGCTGTGATCTGTCCTTTCCACCCCACCCCCCTCCCAGTGTGGTCGCATCCACAGCAGTGTCACAGGGCAGGGAAGCTGCCCATATTTTCTAATACCACAGCTGCCACCTCTCATCTTTCTATGAGTAAAGCCCATAAAAGTAAAACTAGGTCACATGCCCAGCACCCTAGGAATGGGACCTGGGTGGGGCAGGCAGGAATCCTTCATTACTGTAGAAGGTGCACCCGACAAGGAGTCTGGCCTTCGGATCCAAGCATTCCTGACTGACAGGCAGGTCATTCTATGCTGCCAAGGCATTCCCTACACTGGACATGGTGGCTCAAGCCTGTAGGATGAGCACTTAGGAGGCTGACGCAGGAAGACCACAAGTTGAACCCACACGGGCTACAGGTCATACCAGTATTTAAAAGAAATGTTTTATTTATTTATTTTTTGGGGGGAGGGGGGATCTGGTTGTGGGGCCTGAACTCTGGGCCTGGGCACTGTCCCTCAACTCTTCAGCTGAGGCTAGTGCTCTACCACTTGAGCCACAGAACCAATTTGGCTTTTTTCTTTTTTGCTTATGTGGTGCTGAGGAATCAAACCCAGAGCCTCATGCATGCAAGGCAAGTGCTCTACCACTGAGCCACCTTCCCAGTTCTTAAAAGAAATGTTTTTTGTTTTTGTCGGTCGTGGGGCCTGAACTCTGGGCCTGGTCACTGTCCCTCAGCTCTTCTGCTCAAGGTGAGCGCTCTACCGCTTGAACCACAGCACCACTTCCAGCTTTTTCTGCTGATGTGGTGCTGAGGAGTCGAACCCAGGGCTTCATGCATGCTAGGCAAGTGCTTGTTATAGAGTTGGGAGTAACAAGTCCACCACCTAAAGCTCAAAGATCAAAATTAAGCTTTATTATAGAGGAGCTCAACTGACCAGCTAGGGACATAGCACAGACTGGGGAGCTGCAACTGTTTTTTGTTTTTGGTCGGTCATGGGGCCTGAACTCTGGGCTTGTCCCTTGTCTTCAGCTCAAGGCTAGCGCTCTACCACTTGAGCCACAGTGCCACTTCTGGCATTCTTTGCTCACGTGGTGCTGAGGAATCGAACCCAGGGACTCATGCATGCAAGGCAAGCACTCTACCTCTGAGCCACCTTCCCAGCCCAGAAGATAGGGGTTTTTAAAGCAAAAACCCACAATCAAGTGTTGTCTTGCAAAGCAAGCAAGTTTCCAAGAATAAATGCAGCAGTTACTAATTTTTTTTTTTAAGATTTACAATACAGGGCTGAGAATGTGGCTCAGTGGTAGAGCGCTTGCCTTGCATGCCTGAGGCCCTGGGTTCAATTCCTCAGTACCACATAAGTAAAAAAAGAAAAAAAGCCAGAAGTGGTGCTGTGGCTCAAGTGGTAGAGCACTAGCCTTGAGCTGAAGAGCTGAGGGACAGCACTCAGGCCCAGAGTTCAGGCCCCACGACTGGACCAAAAAAAAAAAAGATTTACAATACAAGCTGGGCGCTGGTGGCTCATGCCTGTAATCCTAGCTACTCAGGAGGTTGAGATCTGAAGATCGCGGTTCAAAGCCAGCCCGGGCAGGAGAGACTGTGAGACTCCTATCTCCAATAAACCACCAGAAAACCGGAAGTGGCGCTGTAGCTCAAGTGGTAGAGCATTCGCCTTGAGCTGAAGAGCTGAGGGACAGCACCCAGGCCCAGAGTTCAGGCCCCACGACCAAAAAAAAAAAAAAGATTTACAATACAAAAAACAGGATACAGGCAAACTTGCACAAAAATAGGATCCAGACAGAGACAGCATCTGGGTATTTCTGGGCCAAACAGGACATGGCCCTTACCCCAATCAGACTGTGGTTTAGCAGAATATTTTTCCCTTAGGCAGCAACCAGCGACCTAAGGGAGGAGCTGGGAGGAGTGAAGTGAGCTCTAGGTCAAGATGGCGTGACTTTGGTCAAGCTGGGCCTCTACACACTCCAACACTTAAGCCCCATTCCCGGCCCAGGCTCAGCGTTTTGGTGTGTGTGTACTGGTCTCAGGGACTGGGTGCTGTCCCTGAGCTTTTGTGCTCAAGTCGCTTACACTCACCTATTTGTGCCACAGTTCCACTTTTCTTTTTATAATGTGTGTGTATGTATGTTTAATTAGAACTAAGAGTCTCATGGACTTTCCTGCCCTGGCTGGCTTCAAATTGCTATCCTCAGATCTCAGCCTCCTGAATAGCCAGGATTATAAGCATGAGCCACTGGCATCTCCCTCATAAAGGAATCTTTCAAGAGGAGTCCACCCTGACTTCTGATCCAGAGGCCCACTACCCAAGTGCAGATGTATCAAGTTAAAGGCAGCCTCTGGAGCGGCTATTTGCATCATTCTCTCCATCTCCAGTGTATTTGTCCTTCAGGTCTGCAGCTCCTGTGTACTACACAGGTCACATGCTAACCCCTCCTTTCCCTATCCACTTGCCTTGAACTCCGCGGAGCACCATTCCACTGGATGGTGCACTGGGTCTTGAGAGAGGCCGTGCAGCCACATCCTTAGGCACATTTTTATGAAAGAACAAGGAGCAGGCCATGTACCAGCCATGGAGGGTCATATGTGGTCATCTGATTTCAAGGTTCAAAGCAAGCTTAGGTGAGCTCTGAGGTTTGCCTTCTCAGCAGAGACAACGGATAAGAAGCTCAGCAAAGTAGATTTGGGGTAGAGCACCAGTTGGCCTGGAATTCTATGAAGGCCATGTTGAAGGAACCATTCAAACATCAAGAGGTAGTGATGGAGAGGTGGTGTAGGTTGGGGAGCTTGATGTCCAGATTTGCTGTCAGAGAGCTGAGCCTGCCCACTGAGGTGTAGTCTGGGAAAGGTGGAGATGTTCTGTTGAATACATACAAATTCTAGGCCCCACCTCAGACTAAAACCCAAGAAAGTTATTACCAAGTTCTCTAGGTAATTCTGATGTAGTTGTGTTCCTTGGGCCAGAAAAGCATCCATCCATACCAGTCATACGGTATGAGATTAGAAAGGTCTAATCTCAGGACATGATTTGTTTTACCTGCATTCTCAATAAAGGAGCACAGACCTCTATTCCTTGGTTACTCTCTGAGTTCTCTGTCTACTGAGCAGACTATGACTAGACAATTGCTGCTGAGCAATAGAGCCAACGTAGAGCCCGACTGGGGATGAGTAAACTGGAGAAGTGGTTAAGAGACAGAAGCCATTCCCAGATTGAAGGATCTGCAGTGGAGTCAAAGAACATCAAGCTGAGCTGCATTAAGAGGTGATCAAAGCTCAAAGAAAGCCTGCACCAGACAGCTGTGACAGGCAAGGAGCCAGCAGGAGAGCTCTCTCCAATTTACAAACTCCCTGACAAAGCAGGTGATTCAGGCTTCCCATCCTAGGTCCACACCCAGAGCAGGCCACACAGCTCCCCCTAGCGGAAGTTGGGTGGATAAAAAGGACAGAGGGATGGATGTCAACAGGTATCAGTCACAAGCCATGGTTCCCTTTCTTCCTGAACTTGGAACCATCCCCTCAGGTTTCAGCCTCCTGATTAGCTAGGATTACAAGTGTGAGCCACCGTCACCTGGCCCTTTCTACAGTCTTCATTCTAGGGTCAGACTCATGACTCAAACTCTTGACAATTGCCAGCAGAGCTGTGGCTGATCTCCCACTCAGCACAGGAAGGCCCTATAGAAGACAGCATCCAGATACACTTCAGACGCAGTGTCGGTCCTGGAAAGGGACTATGTGTAGTCTAAGGACTTTCTCCTAAGCAGAACTCCCCACTGACTTTGGCACTGGCAAGAAACAGGAGCTGTCCACTCACCTCTGACAATAGGCTCCTGGTCAAGAAGACAGGGACATGTGCTTGCACCCCAGGACTTTGGTACCATCAGGCTGGATTTTGTGTTTCAGAGAGTAGAGAACCCAGTAGGCACTGCCCATCTGTATCCCTGCCCCGTTCACATGGGTGGATACCACTGAGGCTGATGGGGGCAGCAGAACCCTGTGTAGAGGGAGGGAGGGAGGGGCCTGAAAGGCCTTCTCTGGGAGCAGCCTTCTTGTTCTTCCCCAGTGGCTGAGAGGTGGGGATGGGGCTCCTGGTCTGCCTTCTCTTCCCAAGCCTCCCAATATGAGAAGCCAAGCCTTTGGTCCTTATCTTTCACCTACCCAGAGGTTAGGAAGAAAGCACCCTAGGTCTTCCTAGGCAGCAACTAGGGAAAACCAAGCTGTCAAATCCCACCAGGCAGTGCCCTTTTGGTGGTGGTGGTGGTGATGGTGTGTGTGTATAAAGCTCAGCGTTCTGTATTCCAGTACAGGCTTGTAGCTCCAAGTAGGGCTAAGGGAAAGGGTCTTCCACCGCAGAGGCCCCCTGCTTTCCCAATACTGGGAACAGACAGAAGACCAAAGTCAGGCTTGTGGATTTGAAAGTTGACTCACAATCAGAGACAGTTACCCACTCCAGACCCCGTCCCTGTCAGGGTCCCTCACAGTATGGACAGGTTCACCATGGTGAGCATCGGAACCACGGTGGGAGCCACAAGCCCACCTCGCATTTCAGCTCTGGGCTCCGCCATGGATCCTACGATGGAGAGACTTTCTCATCCTTCGCCCAGCACTTACAGTCCACAGGATCAGTGGGAAAGAGCCAAGCATCTCCCAGCTCCAGAAAGGAACTTTCCAGAAGGACCACAGCACCCGTTTAGCATTCAGCAGTCCAAGAACTATCCTCCAAGCCAGCTCCCGGACGTTTAAGAAGGCACAGAGCAGACGTGGGGCTGGGGACTAGGGTTCGCACCCCCAAGTCCTAGTTCACCCAAAGAGCGGTGGAACAGAGGAGCTTCCATAAGGCCGGGGTGGGGCGGGGGAGGAGCGGGCTAAGGGGCGCGAATCTCTACCAGCAGCCGACGGCAATCCTTCGGGGGCCGGGCTGGGAGCTGGGGGGACCTGCGGGCGTTCCCCAGTACGCGCGGTCCACCCCCCTGCACGGGGGAGCAGGGTTCTACTCCCACCTCCGCGGGAGGAGTGCGGGGCGGCCCGGGCACCAGCCCGAGGGGCGCCCCCACCCCGACCCCGCGCCCCTCCGCGCCCGGGCCTCGCACCGCGCCCAGTCCCACTGCGCCCGCACAGCCCAACTCACCGCGGAGCCACACACGTCCCTAACCTTCCTGCACAGCCCATCCACGCCCTCGACTGTCTGGGCGCCCCTCCTCCCCGCCCTGACCAGGGCGGCCGCCCCGAACCTCGCGTCTCACCGTCCGGACAGGACCTGGGAAACTGCGCGGCGGCGAGGGGACCGCGGACACGCCCCGAGCCTCCACTCACAACGCCGCTTCTCCGTCTGGACTCCTATTGGGCGGCGGTCAGACGGGACCACCCTCACGCACTTGTCATTGGACGAGGCCTTACATACAGCCCGCCCCCTTCTCCTTTATTGGCCAGCCGAGTACAAACTGTCCCCCGCGTAAGCCCCGCCTTTGTGCAGTTTGTAAAGCCAAAGGGCGGGGTCGAGGGTCAGCGTCCGCCGGGTCGTCTCGTCCGTCTTCTGCGTGGTCCCGCCGGCTGGATCTGAGAGGGTGGGGTCGGAAGGTGAGTCACCTTTGGAGGATGGTGCTGGTTTAAGCTCAGCCACCCTTAGGGGAGGACAGGGGCTGTGCTGTGATCCTGGCTATTCAGGAGACTGAGATCTAAGGATCACAGTTCGACGCCAGCCTAAGCAGGAAACGATGATGTCTTAACAACCAAAAAGCCAGAAGTGAAGCTGTGGCTCAAGTGGTAGAGCGCCAGCCTTGAGTAAAAAAGCTCAGGGATAGACCCAGGCCCTGAGTTCAAGCACCAGCATAACACACACACACACACACACACACACACACACACACACACACACTGACCATCCTTGATTGGGGGAAGATATTTGTTTTATCAAATGATTGGACATTCCCCTACACACACACACACAAACCATCCTTGATTCCACACACACACACACACACACACACACTGACCATCCTTGATTGTTCCAAAGGAATCCAAAGCCTCCCACCACTTCCTTAATGAAAAGGTATTTGTTTTATCAAATGATTGGACATCCCCCCCCCACACACACACACACTGACCACCCTTGATTGTTCCAGAGGAATCCAAAGCCTCCTACCACTTCCTTAATGAAAAGGTGACTGTTCCCAGTTGGTGCAAATCTAGCTTGGAATGAACTGCCAGAGTATGATCTGCAGTTGCAATGACTGCTAAGACAGCTCAGGAAGTGTCCAAGTCATTGTGACGTCAGACCATCTGCACTCATTTTTCCTCAAGACTCTAGTCGTGCCATTCCTAAGTGTTCCCAAATGTTTGTTTCATCTGAACTCTTTGAACTGGGTTTTATGAGGCTGCCATCTTTAAAACTGGTGCATTTAATTAGGGGATCAGGTGAAAGATGTGGAAGCAAAGTCAAATAAGTGCTTTGGGAACACGTGTGTATACACCGCTGCCCTGCTGTTATTCATTGCCTGTCATTCCACTTTGCAAAATAGCTCAGATGTTACATCCTTCTTAAGGGGAGCATGCCAGTGATTAAGAGGAAGCTTCTGAATTGGGTGTGGTGGTACACATCTGTAATCACAACAACGTGAAAGTTGAGGCAAGATGATCATATGTTTGAGGGCAGTTTGGATATGGTGAGATTCTTAATCAAAAAGAAAGCTTCCTAGTCATGAACTGATTTAAAAAAATTACAGATTCAACCTCATTATGTCCCTGCTTCCCCGCAGTAAGCAGTCATTCCATCGACTCCGCCAGTTTCAATGTCCTTGCATTCCTACTCACCGGAGTCAGTTCTCCTAGGATTATACACACATTGGAAACAATGGTGTCCTCAGTGCCATTTGAGGAAATTACATAAAATACTTTTGGTGGGAATGTACTTTTTTTTTTGGGTCCGGTCATGGGGCACTGTCCCTCAGCTCTTTAGCTCAAGGCTAGAGCTCTACCACTTGAGCCACAGCGCCACTTCCGGCTTTTTTCTTTTTGCTTATGTGGTGCTGGGGAATCGAACCCAGGGCCTCAGGCATGCAAGGC